CAAACCAACCTTTTGAAGGTGCGGTCGAGGACGGCACACCAGAACAAGAACTGGATCTGCCCTGCCTTACCTTTTTGTCCTGACTGTCCCCTTTCTACCGGGCATAATCCCATATCACTTCAGACCGCTGGGTGCTCCGCATGGTAGAGAGGGGATACTCCATCAAATTCTGTGCCCTCCCACCCTTCCACCCCCACTTCCCCGTCCCTCTTCAGGGACCCCTCTCACGAGCAACTCCTTATACAGGAGGTGCACTCACTCCTTTTGCTAGGGGCAGTGGAAGAGGTTCCTCGGGAGCAGAAGGGCAAGAGTTTCTATTCTCGGTATTTCCTAATTCTGAAAGCCAAAGGTGGGCTCAGGCCCATCCTAGACCTGCGAGAACTCAACAAGTTTGTGAAGAAGCTCAAGTTTCACATGGTCTCTTTGGTCTCCATCATCCCTTGATTGGATCCAGGAGACTGGTATGCCACCCTCGACTTGAAGGACGCGTACTTTCACATAGCAATAACTCTGTCCCACAGAAAATACCTCAGGTTTGTGATGAACCCACCAGTTCACAGTCCTCTCCTTCAGCCTGTCAGTGGCTCCTTGAGTGTTCACCAAGTGCATGGCAGTCGTGGCTGCGTTCCTGCGCAGACGGCAGGTACAGGTGTTCCCGCACCTCGAAAACTGGCTCATCAAGGGCCACTCCAGGTCTCAAGTGGAGACACAAGTCGACTTCATAAGATCGACGTTCAACAAACTGGGCCTTCTTCTGAACAAGGGGAAATCAATGCTGTTCCCGGTTCAGAGGATAGAGTTTATAGGGGCAGTACTTGACTCGACACAAGCCAGGGCATACCTCCCGGAAGCAAGGTTTCGGTCCCTGGGCAACATCATACGAGGTCTCAGGCAGTTCTGCACCACCACAGCAAGGAATTGCCTGAAACTTCTAGGACACATGGCAGCCTGTACCTGCATGGTGCAACATGCCAAACTCAGGCTTCAGCCTCTTCAGTTGTGGCTAGCGTTGGTGTATCGGCCAGCCTGGGACAATTTGGACAGGGTCATGACCCTGCCCTGCCAGGTTCTCGACTCCCTCCTGTGGTGGCTCGACCCACAGGTAGTATGTGCAGGGTTCCCCTTCTCCAACCCTCAGCCGTCTCTCTCCCTAGTGACGGATGCATCATCACTGGACTGGGCTCCATTGTGGACCTGTTCCTCCTCCCATGGGGAGGCCATCTCCTCTACGCGTTTCTGCCTATCCCTCTTGTTCACAAGATGCTCGTCAAGATATGGAGGGAACAAGCTTCAGTGATATTGATAGCTCCAGCATCCGAACCTCGAGTCGCTGCACCTCACAGTGTGGAAGCTCATGGCTGAACCTGATGGAGCTCTCCTGCTCTGTCTCAGTTAGACAAGTCCTCCTGGGCAGTAGAAAACCCTCCACCAAGGCTACCTACCTTGCTAGGTGGAAGAGATTTTCAATCTGGTCCATGCAGCATCATTCGTCCCCGACACTCACCTCTGTGCCACTTATCTTAGACTATCTTCTCCATCTCAAACAGCAGGGGCTGTCCATGTCGTCAGTAAGGGTTCACTTGGCCGCCATCTCTGCCTTTCATCCAGCTGGAGACGGCCGCTCGGTCTTTGCTAGCCCTATGGTCAGCCGTTTCCTTAAAGGTCTCAACAGGCTATACCCACATGTCCGGCAGCCTGTCCCGGCTTGGGACCTCAATCTGATCCTTTCCAGACTCATGGGATCGCCCATTGAACCTTTGGCAACATGCTCCCTACTCTATCTCTCATACAAGGTGGCGTTTCTGGTAGCGATAACCTCGGCCAGGAGGGATTCTGAGCTCAAGGCCCTGACATCAGAGCCCCCTTACACTGTGTTCCATAAGGACAAGGTCCAGCTCAGGCCTCATCTGGCTTTCCTCTGGAAGGTTGTCTCCCAGTTTCACACCAACCAGGACATCTACCTCCCAGTGTTCTATCCTAAGCAGCACTCGAGCAGCAGGGAGCAGAGGCTTCACCCATTGGATGTCCGCAGAGCACTAGCCTTCTACATTGAGAGAATGAAACCATTCTGAAAGTCTGACAAGTTATTCATGGCAGTGGTGGATGAATGAAAGGTCTTCCTGTCTCTTCTCAACAGATTTTGTCATGGATCACGTCCTGCATCTGTGAGTGCTACAACCTGGCAGGGGTGCCTGCACCTCTGATCACTGTGCACTCCACCAGGGCTCAGGCCTCTTCAACGGCGTTCCTGGCGCAGGTTCCCACCCAGGAAATCTGCAGCACAGCGATGTGGTCCTCCATATGCACTTTCACCACGCACTAGGCAATCACCCAGCAGGCCAGGGACGATGCAGCCTTTGGAAGAGCTGTGCTCCAATCAGTAGACAACTCCGACCCCACCTCCTGAACTTGGGCTTGTGAGTCACCTGATTGGAATGGACATGAACAAGAATTCTTAGAAGAAAAAAGGATTACTCACCTTCTCTTAACTGTTGTTCTTCGATATGTGTTGTTCATGTCCATTCCAATACCCACCCTCCTACCCCTCTGTCAGAGTAGCCAGCAAGAGGGAACTGAGGGGGCGGCGGGACGTCAGGGCTCTATATTGAGCACCATAAAGATGCGACTTCAGGGGGCGCCCAGACCAACCTGACGGAGGCTGCTATGGGAAAAATCTTCCGGCTACCCTGCACATGCACCCACCTGCTTGGAATGGACACGAACAACACACCTCGAAGAACAACGGTTATGAGAAGGTGCGTAACCGGTTTTTCACGAGGCTCTCCTACTCTGTCCAGGCCTCCTTACACCCTTGCTCCCAAACATGTGAAGCCAGTATATAGAGATTGGCCAGTAGAACACTTCCATCCTGAATATGTGCATTTGCACATGAATCCCAAAAGTCACATGAAAGGAAGTTCCACCCCAAACAGCCATGTGAACAAAAACCTATCACATGGAAGTCAGTGGGAAAGCAAACAACCATGGCCAGGTCCAATCACAATGCAGCATTTGAAGATAAATTCATGAATAATCATCCCCACCTTTATCCTAGTGCCAGTCTCCACTTTCATTTTGTTAGCCCAGCAAGCTGGGGGGTGGGGTGGGGGGGAAACCATAATTAACACCATGGACAGCATCCACATTAATGGACTAGTTGATTCTGCATCGTTACCATGAACAGCATCACACGGGGAGCCTTCAGGGTATCATCCAGGACCAGAGACAACACCACAAGGGGATGTCTTAGTGGATTGCTCCTCACAGGCAGCACCACATGGGGCACCTTGTTTCCCACCTTCAGAAGCTTGGGAACACTTTTTTCTCCATCAAGGATTAATCATGCAGTTTTATATGAAAAGAAAACCCTCTTGGTCCCTGACCTATTTTTTCCTGTACATTTTCCAGTGATAGGAATCCCCCAGGAAATGCACAATGTGATGTAAGCGTAATTACAGTGCAGAATGAAAGAATTAAGAGTGTGTGTGCCTGCCCCTGTGAATATATATCTGGGTGAGAGTTAAAGCAAGCCCTGAATGGAATAGACTACTCAAAGCAATTTTCGAATCAAAGGGGAATAAAAAGATTCTATCTCTTGTTCAATTCAAACTAGAAAACATGTCTGCACATTAACATTTTCTTAAAAGGGCTCTTGTGCTAAAGCATAACAAGAATTGGTGCTTCAATCCCACTAAAGCTGTGGTTGCTTAAGCAGGGGGAGGAATGGGGGGAGGGGTGTGTGTCAGACTAATAAAGGGGTTCAAGACAGGGTAAAGGACCATTTTGATTTTTTTAAACAATTAGTTATGTCCCTTGGGATATACTGAAATTTATGTCCCTTGGTATATACTGGCCTTTTCTCCCTGAGATCTTTTTTGTTTTCGGTGAAATCTTGGCTTTTGCTCCTCAAAAACGTGGGTGTTTCTATTAAAAATCTTAATAGAAACAATGTATTTGCAGGCTGCCAGTGAAAATGAGGGCAGCCCTGCAGGAGCACACCCCTTCCCAGTCAAGATGTTTCTGGACTCGTGCTGCCAGTTCTCACTACGTTCCAACTCTAGGTGATATCCCCCTCGGGGAAGGTAGGCCCCATTGCTATCTCCCGCTGCTATGAAATAACCTGGACACGTCACCACCTCGACATTCTGTAAATGGCAATGAATTGGTCTGGCAAGCCAGAAGTGAGAGCGGGGGCAGTTATGGGCCTGTTAACTGCTTCTTCCCTCTCCAGATTGACTGAGACCTCGTGGCCAGCAGCATATTCTTCACTCATTCCTCCTACAGAACTCCCATTGCCATCACTAGTTGTACCATGTGGATGAAGAGGGCAGAATATGCCCACATGTTCACCGTTTTACTAAAATCAGGTTTAGGGGTGCTCAGTACTGTAATAATAGGGATACCTAACCTAGCACTTTCATCACTAATATCTTAGGGCTTGATCCTGTTCCCATTAAAGGCTATTGGAAAACTCACATTAGCTTTAATGGCACAGGATCAAGCCCTTAATGCACTAGTCTTTCACTTCTGGAGGCCTGGGTTGAAGCCCAGCATATGCCATAAGGGCAATCAGCTTGATGTGCTCAGTCTAGGTTTACAGTAGAGAAGCCCAGGGTAGGAATAGCTGAGGGTGCTGCAGATCCAGAGTGAGGCACATGGGCAGTAGAGGGGAAAGAAGAACTGGAATAGTCAGGGTGAGGGGGTAGGTAAGGACTGAGGTGCATTAGCATTACAGGGGATGCTTTCCCCAGTATGTTCCTGGCTCGAGCTGGTGGGATAGGTTCCTCATTTTCAGGAGAAGTATAATTCATTGAAGGTACAACAAGAAGCTCTTTAAAAAGCCCACTCACCTAATGTCCCACCATTAACTCTCACGAGGCTCATTGTGAACTCAGCAAAATGTGAGAGGTGCGTATTTGTGGCCAAGGCATTTCACAGCATCTACCAAGCACCCCTGTCTTGTGCTCAGCTTCAGCTGAGTGTTGATGCTGTTTTCACAGAAGTGGCAGAGAGGAAGCTGACCATCGAAGAGGAGGAAGCCAAGAGGATTGCAGAGATGGGGAAGCCGGTGTTGGGCGAGCATCCCAAACTAGAGGTCATCATTGAGGAGTCCTATGAATTCAAGGTCAGTGCTGGGTACCGGGGCTCTTCATGAGGAGATAATAGTGTCACTGGAGAGGAAGCAGCCAGAGGGAAGGGATATAGGTAGAGGCTTGAACAGAGAGGTCAGCCATAAGAGAGAGAGGGAGTGGCCAAGGGGGGAGAGAGAGAATGAGAGCGTGCCTGAAGAAAGAGGCCTAGCAGAGAGAGATTAAGGGAGAACCCGGAGGAGAGAGGCATGAGGGAGCAGCCTCAGGAGAGATGAAGGGAAGGTGTATGAGCACCTTGTGGAGAGAGCAGGTGAGTTACCCCGTAGAGAGAGGAGGAGCAAGTGTCCTGAGATGATGGGGGACAAAGCAACCCCTATGGAGAGAGCGTGTGGGGTGGAAATGCCTGGGGAGAGGAAGGATAGATGAGGGGCAGGGAGAAGCCTGAGGAGAATCTACGCTGCACAAAGAGAAGGGCAGCTGCATGGATCTAGCCACCAGCCCCATCTTTAGGGGCTTCATCTCCCTGGCAGGGAGAGTGTCTGTTCCAGCCCCAGTGGAAGGGCGAGAGTGCTCCTCTCAGCACACTGCTGAGTACCGTGTTCTCTCAGAACAGCACGTGGTGTCAAAGCTGGTTTAACTGCTGTGCATTTTTGTCCCATTGACAGAGTACCGTGGACAAGCTGATTAAGAAGACAAACCTGGCTTTGGTTGTAGGGACACATTCCTGGAGGGACCAGTTCATGGAAGCCATTACTGTTAGTGCAGGTGAGGGGACCTGAGGGTGCCCAGCTATAACAAGGTCACCAACCCTAAGGGAATGTAGTAGCAAGACTCGGGTCTCTGAGCGCCTGTGTAAGCCAGCCTGAAACTGCCTCTGCTTCCTCAGTGGTGTACTGCAAACGTGCATGGATCATGGGTATCAACTAAACCACGTGCACGGGATAGCAGGGATAGAAACCAGGAGCTTCAATTCTATAACTATAGGCCTCCAGCACCTAAGGGGCTGGTCTACATAAAGGTATAGTGCACGGCAAGCCACAGCCAGGGCAGGAATGTATAGCGCAGTCAGTCACTACGTGGACCTTGCTACTGCACACGACAAGTTCCATAGTGTGCTTTGACCTACTGCTGTTCAAAACACAGCCACTGGCTCAGAGAATGACACTGCAGCCTGGTGGTGACGGCACCCACCTAGGCGGGGGGGGGGGGGGGGGGGGGGGGGGAGGATTCAGGTGCCAGCCCTGCTCCAATGCCTGTTTAAACACAGTGAAACAGCTTCAACAGGAGAGATTGGGAGAGACCCTTCCCCCCACCCCAAGACTGTCCCATCTCTCAGCTTAGAGCACCTTCCTGAGAGGTGGGAGACCTCTCTTTAAATCCTTTCTCCCCATCTGGCAAAGGAGGGAATTGAACCAGGTCTCCCACATCCCAGATAAGTGTTCTAACCACTGGGCTAAAGTTCCTAAGATGGGCAGCGCCACCTCTTCTTCCTCTGGCTGTTTTGTGGGGAGTGAGGCAAGCGCCTGGCTCATTCTCCCAGCTGTGGATCTCAAACAGAGCTAGGTGCCTCCCTGTATCCTAGATTTAGGGACCAAATTCTGTGAAGGGGCGGGGCTTAGGGCAGTGTTTCCCAAACTGTGGGTTTCAGGGTTGGCGTGGAGGGAAACCCCAGTGGGGTCGGAGAGCAAGCCTGCCCTGCACTCACCCCACAGAGGTACAGTGATTTTTCTAGATTTCCCCCCGCCCCTCCCCCCCAAAAAAGTGGTGAACTGTGACACTCAGCATTGCAACACCTGTGGATTCAGGCCTTAGTGCCCAGTTCGAGGAGGTCCTCAGCACTCTCATTGCAATTCAGGGTGCTCAGTAATTTGCAGGATTAGGCCCCTATTTTGCAGATTCCAGGAATGCTTTGCAAACAATAGAGACTAATACACTGAAACACAAACTAAAAACCCTTCATGAACCATCAGCTGATGGCCATGTCCCTTTCAAGCTGGCATCAGGAGAGTGACAGGATAGTGTGTGGTGCAAGGTCAGCAGTTCAGTGCACCTTGGCCATTTGATGCCTTGGAGTCCTCTTGGAAAAGGGTTAATTCCCAGCCAGCAATGGGGATGGGTTGCTGCACAGGCTTAGCTGGAGCTGCTTGCAAGTGAGTGAGCCCCAAAGGCAACTTGTGATTCATGCATCTGAGACTGATGAGAAATAAAGGGGGGAGGGTAAGAAGGGGCAAGAGATATCTGGGTTTCTTCCTGCCACTTTCTTCTATGCAGACTCTCTCTCTATCCCCTCCCCCCCTTCTCTCCTTCCCTCCTCCTATCTTTATTCTCTTTCTCCATCCTGATAGAAAGACGAGTTTGCTGCTCCACCCTGTGCGTCAGACTGTCTGCCCTTAAGAACTCAGAAGCTTGATTAAAGCCCTTGCTCGGTATTTCCTGCCAAGCATACATTAGGGTGCTCAACCTCTGGGGCACCAGCTACTAGAGTCAGTGCTCAGACCATGGCAGAATGGTGCTGCACCCAGCTGGAAACAAATTCATACGAGTTTAATCCAGTGTTATTAGTGCTTTGGTAATTGATTTTGTTCTGGGAAGGGGAAGGGACTGGAGAAGAGTAGGATGGGAAATCCTTATACAATAGGCATTTTATTCCGTCCACACTTCAATGAGCAAAGCCAGCCTTTGACTTGCAAAGGAATTGTCACAGAGAACGTTCACCCTAACACATTTATGCCTTTGGACATTTCAAGACAGACATCCTCATGTGCAGCATAAGGGTTAACAAAGCAGTCAGGCATCCGCAGAGATGCTAGTGCAGCTCCCTATAACCAGTGCACAGAGTGCCATCTCTGTCATGTACTGCTTGTACGCAGTAGGTGCAGGGCTGCTACTAACAGACCAGACTTCTATACCAGACAGGCTACAGGGCTTCCATCACGGAGAGAGACAAGAAATGTGTTCCCTTTACGATACTTTAATGCACTGCCAGGTATCACTGTTACCAGCTCAGGCAAGATATGTTACACATGGTGCCATCTAGTGGCTGAACATTATAATATAGTCTAGCATTCCATCACATCTCTTCCTTTATGTTTTACATTCATACCATTTATAAAATGTACACTATCTTTTAGTATGTATCAGTCTGTTAAGTGTCTCTGAATCATACTGGTTTTTAAATTACACAACCCAAATGCATAACAACTTGGTCATCTGGCTGCCCATTAGTTGCAACGACTGTCTGGTCAGTTTGGAATCTTGGCATCTTCTTGTTGTTCTGCATGCACCATCTGTAGGGTTTGCTCTGTTGATTGGTCCTTCTGAGGCACAAACTGTAGCTGTCGACAGTTTCTGTTGAAGTCTCCATTGTCAGTCTCAATCACATATCATCTGGGTGATTAATTCTTTTTCTTTAGGACAACTGCAGTTCTTCATCCTTCTTCGCCATCCAGTTTGACACAAACACAGGCACCAGGTTCTAGACTTGGCAGTTCTCTAACTGAGTGTCATCTGTTGTAAAAGTGTTCATAAGGTCTTTTAGCCTTTTTATTCAATTGTCTGCTCTTTGTGTCTGGCCACTTTTTGGAGATAGATTCTTTTCTGAAGTTGGAACAGTAGTTCTGAGTTGTCTTCCCATCAGGAGTTGTGCTGGACTATATCCACTAGCTTCTATGGATGTTGATGTATATCTCACAAGAGCAAGGAATGAATCTTCCTGCTGAAGGATTTTCTTGGTTGTCTGTACAGCTCTCTCAGCTTCTACATTTGCTTGTGGGTAATGTGGGTTGCTAGTAATATGAAAAATCATATTTTGTTTGGAAAAACAAATTCTGCTACAGTGAATTGTAGCCTGTTGTCCACCACTGGTTTGTTCTGACATACCAAAATGAGCAAAAATGCATTTGTTTCTCAATAATACTGTGACATGTTATGTCTTTCAAGTACATTATTTCTATATACCTGGAAAAACAGTCCATTATGACCAGATAATATCTTCTGAATTCACATAAATCTGCAGCTAGTCTCTTCCAAGATCTGTCTGGTAGAGGTGTTGTTATTAAAGGGTTTTTTGTGTGTGGTGTGTTGGTCTGTGAGATCTGCAATGTTCACATGCAGATACTTCATTCTTTATGCCCTTGCTGATGCCTGGCCACTACTCAGACTGGTTGGCCTGTTCACAGCATTTAGTTAGCCCTTGATGTCCTTTCTGGATGAGATTTAAGATTTCTCCTCTCATTGCATTTGGAATTATGATGCAATCATCTTTAATTATGAGTCCATTTGACTCACTTAATTGTCCATGCACCAAAAAGTAGTCTCTTGTCACTTCCTTAGTGTCCTTTAGATACTTTGGCCAGCTAGTCCTCATGTAACTTAGAGCTTCTAGAAGTTGTGTGTCTGTTGAGGTTGCTTTTTGTAGCAGGTATAGTCTGGTTTCTGACTCTGGTCAGTATGTGTCCATAGCATCCATGTATGCCTTTACATCATCTTCAAGCACATAGGTAATGGAGTGTGATGCTGGGCTCCATGACAGAGTGTCCGTGTAACGGGGTTCACTCACCACACTGGTGCCTCCTGCTGGTTGTCATGGAAATTAGCTCTGCATGGTAGTGTGCCCTCTACGGGTGGTGTCTCGCTGCCATCACTCCTGCTTTAGGACCCACATTTCTCCAAGGACTGTGGCGTCCACTTCAGTGACACAGCCCTCCAGCAGTGCTACACTCTGTGCTCCCCCCTTCTGGGGGACCTGCAGTCTGCTGTTCAGCCACTTCCCTTAGTGGCAACTGCAGCAAATTGTCTGGCCACTTCCTCGTGGCCCCAGCATCCTCTTTGCCCTTGCCTCAGGGCCTCAGCCTGCAAACCCCAGCAGCCAACCAGAAGCTGTCTCTCACTCCCCCAGTCCCTGCTCGCAGCACTGCTCTGTCCAGGGCGCTAGCAGTTCTCTCAGCCCTCCAGAGACACAGTCCCTCCTCCAGGGGCTCCTAGCAGAGAACTGCCTTCCTCTGCCCTGCAGCTCCCTTTTTATATGGGCCTGCTTGGCCCTGATTGGCTGCTCCCTTCAGCCCTTCTCTGATTGGCTGCCTCCAGCGCAGCCTCCCTAGGGCTGCTTTTAACCCCTTTTCTCCCAGTGCAGGGCAGCCGCCCCATCAATCTGCTACTACCAGATTTTCCCCCAAGAACATATTAAGCAATTGGGTTACGAATCCTCCAAGGTGTTTGTATAGTATATGGTTCAGCATTGTCTCATAGGGTTATTTGTACTGCATCTCCTTTCAAAAGTCCAATCTCACCAAAAACTTTCTCGAATTCTTCCACCTTTCTCTCTAAGCACATCATGGCTGCCTCGCTGCCGCTGAGAAGGCTACTAGTTTTTTATCTTTTGATAACATATACTCTAAATGAAAATCTTTTGTCTTTGTAAGTTGTTTCTGTGGTGAATTGGCCCATGCTGTTAGAATACCAGCAGGGCTAGTCGGGGCTGTATCAGGTGATTTCAGATCTGGGTGTTTTGAAGGTAAATATAGGTACCTTCTGATATGACCATCATCTGCTCCTGAGTCAGTTTTCAGGGCAATAGTCTTTCCATTAACATTCAGTCTTGCTCTCCAGATGGCCTTTGTGTCATCACATTGATAGATCCCAGAAACAATGGCTCTTGGCTATCTGTAGCAGTCAGTTCTCTGACTGTCTTACTATGGCAAACAGCTGCAAGATGTCCATATTTTTTGCATTGATTATATCTTGCATTTTTGGAGGGACACACATCTGTTGGGCTATGGATATTTCCACATCTTGTGCGTTTAGTCTGAAAGGTTTTGTAGTTAGTCTGGATCTTGTCCAATATTGCCTCAGGTCTTATGGTAATTACTTTTAGAAGTCATACTGTGTCTCTTTACTGCCTTATTTCCAGTTTGAAATTGTCTGGCTTCAGCAGCCAGCCATTGGTTCCTGTTATGCCTTTCTCTGCTAGACTAAAGAGCCCTTTAGTACTTTGTATTTTCTGCCCATTAGGGTAGTTATACACTGTAATGAAGTCAAAAGAAGCAGCCCAGGACTAACACGGAATGGTTTTGATCCATTGACCTCTGGCTGATGGACCTAGCCTGCTTCCTCTATGTAGAAGAGCTTAGTTCCTAGCACAATGACATGGTTCCCTAAGAAACAGGCAGCAGCCCTTAAACCCAGGAACCAACTAAGGTTCAAGTTCTGTCCTTGGGGCACTTCTGAGACTGCCTACACCAGACACACATTACTGGTTGGACAGCTTTTGGAAGTTTTGCCTTGAGTGCCAGTAGCATTGTATGGAGAAATGGTGACAACTTTTGTAGTTACAGTTGAGTAGTGCTTAATCTACGTATGTTTGGTCACTGGAGCCTAGCGCTCCCTTGCTTCAGAGTAAGGGGATATGCGGTCCTCAGCATTTGGCCCAGGCACAGTTATTAGATTTGTATGACTAGCTTTATTATGAGTAACAATGAAGATACCATAACAATAGGAAGAGACTGAACATAGGAAGTATCATTCTGGAACAGCCCAATTGTCCACCTAGTTTGGCATCTTGTGTCAGGAACTGGCCTGTGGCAGATTTTCAGAAGAACATATAAACCCCCCTATATAATGCACATAGGTATGTTATACCGTAGAATGGATGGAAAATTTCCTTCCTGACCTCTGCTGGTGATCAGCCCATGCCCAGAAAGATGGGGATTAAGAGCCCTTGAAATTTTACCCAACCTTCTTGCAGATATTATTTTTAGTTTATCAGTTTCTGCTTTTTTTCTTAATATTATTTAGCTCTGTGCCTCTGTAATGCCAAACAACAGTGAGTTCCACAGGCGAATTATGTGTTGCATAAGAAAGTATTTGCTTTTATCCCTGTAAAATGTGTTGCCTTTCAATTTCAAGTGCTCACTTATGCTTGTCATCTGAGAACGGGTAAATAGGAATGCCTGACTGGCCTTCACTATTTTCATGATGCTGTCTGCGTTGCTATGGTGATAAATATGGTCAAATCCTCTGTGTACCGGTACAAGAACAACATTAAGGACATTAAGAGATGATTCTGTGATTGCTGATCCACTTTCAAATACCCTGATGCCATTTCAAGGCAATCCCGATATTATCCTCAGCGTCTTCCCCACCTCCCTCAGTAAACCCAGGAAAGCAGAGAATAGGTGAAGCTGGCGGAGGAGTTTATTTGCTCCAAATAAACAAGCACTAAGGAAAACTTGTGTGTACTTAAATTTTGTGGGATACAGAGAGAGAGCCAGCAGTCAACTGCTGCTAAAATTTCAAAATCCACATCTGGATTGGCATCTCCTAGTATGCCAATGTCCCAGGAACAGCCCCTCAGAGGCTCCTGCTGCACTGATGAACATATAGTTCCTATCATTCCATTGCTGGCATCAGAATGTTAACTGATGGGGGTCACACTGCAGGCATGGTGAAGAACAGCTGGGAGAGGGGAAAGCTGGTTAAGGTGTACACTCTCTTATGCAGCAAATATTCAAGAGCAGGAACATTAGCAGGCAAATCATTGGTTGCCCGTCACCTCCTGGGCAGCAGAAGACAGGTGCTTTGCTGCTGAGTTCTTAAGGCTGTCACAGAGAGCCCAGTGTCCACAGCTCATTCCTTCCCCTCAGGCAGTAGTTGGTATTCTCCCCTGATCCCTCACTGATTGAATCCTAGCTGTGGCCTAGATGATAGTGTTAAAGGTAATACCCCTGGTTCCTGGTTTGACCTCTTCTTTCTGAAATCCATTCAGACAGCAGCCAGGCCTTTAAGTTCTTGTCTGTGCGATTTCAGTGAAATTTCGCTGTTGCAATAAGGATCAATAGAACATAATCCATGTGACTGCAGCTTATAAAATGCAGCAGTGTTTGGAAACCTGGGATTTCGCAGAGCCCACTAGATCTGCTTTCTTGTCTTGCATTGCTTGCAGCGGGTGATGAAGATGAGGATGAGTCTGGTGAGGAGCGCCTGCCATCCTGCTTTGACTACGTCATGCACTTCCTGACCGTCTTCTGGAAGGTGCTCTTTGCTTGCGTGCCACCCACAGAGTACTGCAATGGCTGGGCCTGTTTCGTGGTGTCCATCATGATCATTGGCATGCTCACTGCTGTCATTGGGGACCTCGCTTCCCACTTCGGCTGCACCATTGGCCTCAAGGACTCGGTGACTGCTGTTGTCTTTGTGGCCTTTGGCACCTCAGTACCAGGTGAGAAGGCCAAGGGCAAGAGTGTGGTAATAGAAGAAAATAATGGCTAGCACCTCTATCCTAGCCCATTGTTCAGGAGCAGCAAATCCCACAATCCTTTGCGTGGGTAACTTTGGTGTTTCAGGAACCACTGGTTCTTGCGATGCTGTATGGGATGTGAAATCTGATTGGGAACTGGGGTTCGGGGAGGAATGAGAGTAGACTCACACCCCCTTTCCCCAGGCAAAAGCTGTTGACCCCCCCTGGGGTTTAGGATGCACCGGGTGAGAATCTCTGAGAACTGGTTTATTGACAGGTTTTTGGATTCTGTCTGGTTTTGGAGGGGTTGTGGGGGGCATGTGTTTTCAGGGGGTTTGTACTGGTGAATGTTAGGGGACTTGACAGTGACTGTACAGTAAACCAACATCCTCTGCTCATAGCCACTGACCAGACACAGTGGGACAGCTGCACCCTTGCTGTGCCAACAGGGACCTCGACATCATGTGTTTGTACAGAACCTACTACCACAGCGTCCTGGTCCATGACTGGGGCTCCTAAGAGCTCTAGCAATACACATAATTGGTAGTAATAATAATACTGATGACGACCAACGGGGACTGTCCTTCTCCATTGCCACCGGCAGTGGTGTCTCTACAGCTATGTCTACACTGCCACGGGAGGTGTGATTGCACCTTGGGTAGGCATACCCACACTAGCTTAATTCTAGCTGCCGTGGCTAAAAATAGCAGTGCAGCCATGGCGACATGCACCCCAGCATGGACTAGCAATACGAGTATGGACCGGGAAGGCTTGGACAGCCTGTGCTGAAGCCCACGTTGCCACGTCTTCATGGCTAGTTTTAGCCACGCTAAGCAGAGTAACGCCAGCCTGGCTGTGCCTGCCCCGGCTGCAGTCACACCTCCGATTGCAGTGTAGTCAGCCCCTGTATTAGCTTCAGTTCTGAGAGGCCACTGCTAGGCAAAGCTGCCAAAAGAAATGGTAGCAAACGGCCACTGTGGACAGAGATGAGCCCTATTTATATCTAGTCAGATAATCTACTATAGTTCTAGAGCACCAATTCCACTCAGAAATAAGTCCACCCCTTCATGTCCCCATCCCCATTGTGGGTGTATGTTAATGAAAGTGCTATCCACTAGCCCCCCTCAATCCGATACATACATAGGTCTCCTATCTAGCAGCAGCTTATTATGCTATCTCAATCTCAGCTGGAATACTGCCTAGTTCATGGGCAGTATTTACAGCGCCAGCCTCCAGCACTTACTCCTGCTGGTGGCTGGAAGAGGAGCCATAAGCACCCTTCTGGCTGGAAGGTTGAGTGCCACAGGCTGTGTTATCAGCAAAAAAGAGTGGGGCACAGTGCATTGGGTGCAAAGAGCAAAATGAAGGCCAGGACAGGCCTATAAATATCTGGCAACTTAGTGCACCAGTCTAAGGAGAAGGTGCTAAAATGGCATTGGGCCATTAATAGGACTCACTACCAGGGCCATTCTCAAACCGCTTCTCTGCAACTACAGAGATCTGGCCTCTGTCCCTCTCAGAAAAGGGTGTCCTTATTTCAATTCAGCTTCAGCAATCCATGCCTGCTCTCCTGCCTTAAAAACCGCCAGGACCCCCCGGCTTTGGGCAGCACAATTTCATTATTACTGTTAATTCACGTCTCTCCCTTCTAGACACTTTTGCCAGCAAAGCAGCCGCCATCCAGGATGTGTATGCTGATGCTGCCATCGGCAACGTCACGGGCAGCAATGCCGTCAACGTCTTCTTGGGCATCGGACTGGCATGGTCCGTGGCTGCCATCTACTGGGCTTCCCAGGGACAAGAGTTCCATGTGTCAGCGGGCACGCTGGCCTTTTCCGTCACGCTTTTCACCATCTTTGCTTTTGTCTGCATCAGTGTCCTGCTGTACCGGAGACGGCCTCACCTCGGAGGGGAACTAGGAGGCCCCAAGGGGTGCAGACTTGCCACAACTTTGCTCTTTGTGAGCCTGTGGCTCCTGTACATTCTTTTTGCCACGCTGGAGGCCTATTGTTATATCAAAGGGTTCTAAGCCGTGGAGAGATGATGAAGTCGGGGGGGAGGGATCCCCCTCCTCTGTTACCTCATTGGACACCAGTCCTCCAAGTGTTGTTAAACCAGAAGTGACAGCTGTCTGATTCCACAGTTGCCCAGACAGGAGGACAACTGAGCTGCAAGAAGGGCAAAATTATCATGAAACAAAAACAAGTTAAAAAATACAAAATAAATTTAAGGTATTTAAATAAATCAAACAAAATAAACCCAGTCACTGACCCCAGTCAGTGATATTGAGAATCTTCAGCCACCTTCAAAGATCACATTTTCTTTATTTTATTGTTTCTTTTTTCTCTCCTCCATTATGAAATGGTATCATGTATTTCTAAATAGGTTGAGAATTACAGAAATAAGTTGGATCAAGGTTTTGCGGGGGAGGGGAGGAAACGTTGCTTTAAGTTTTTTTTCTTCCTTTAAATAGACAAAAAAATGTTAAAAATCAAAACCAAAAGCTTCAAGCTGCCATCAGTGCTGGAGTTGAACCATGCATTTTTTGGAAGCCACAAAAACAATGTCATAGTCAAATGACTCGCTGTTATCTGTTTCTCCCTTTCATTTCTTTAAGTATATCATGAGACTGATGTATTTCAAATGCAAATACAAACACACACGCAGGAAAATACAATGATGAAGGCTGGAGCATGGAGCAACCCACGCACCAGCCTGGGATTTACAAAAAAAAAAAAAAAGACCTCTCACATAATATGTATCCTGTATATTTGGAGTATGGCATCTCTCTTTGTGTAAAAAAACTTAAAACCTGTGGTACTGCAGGGAGAGGAAAATACGTTCATTTAGAAAAGGTGAAGAAATGAACAGATACACAGACACAGCCTGCAATGTGGGAAAAAGGGAGCTAGGGAAACCAGGGCACATCCCTTAGGATCATAATGGTATTGTGTTTGATTTGTGGGAGAGCAGCAGGGTGTTCCTTTTTGCTTTAAAGTGAAGGTGAATTCATGTAAATAATTTGCGGTTCTCACATTTTGGTGCATACGAGAAGCTTTGAGGCATAACATGCCACTCAAAGGTTTCTAAGCATCATCTTAAAGGGTTTACTTTGTCCTTAAAAACACACATGTTTACCAAAGGGAAAAGGATCATGATGCCTCTTCATAACTCCTCTCTTGGCATCAGGGCCAGTTGATTTCTTTACATCTTTAAGGCCAAATATGTCCTAATGGATGATGACCCACATCTGGTTACTGTAACTCACTGGGATCGGATATGCTGAGCAAAGATGACACCAGTCTCTTTTTCGGGGGGAAAACCAAAACCAAATCAAAACCATATGACAGTATTTTTCCAGTGCAAGGGTCATTTCCCATTTTGATTTGTATCATGTCTGCCAATTTGCTCCTTTAACACCCTGTTGTTACAAGGATCAGTGCTCCACTCGTGGTCTTTGCTAGGTTGAGAGGTACAGTATGGTCTTAAAAACTGCCTCAGATCTTAGGACTTCTGTGTCATCTTAAGTACATTCTAGAAAAGCACCCTTTTAATTTTAAGTGCATTTTTTAAAGAAAAAATAAAAAGGGGGAATACAAGCAAGATCTCATATCATGAATTACATCAACAGCTGCGAATTGAAATGTTGGGTTGGTAAAAGAAAAAAAAAAAGCTATACTTATATCTATATAAACATATTATCTATATACATATTTCTTAAGTGCAAGAACTGGAAGAGGGCATTGCAGCTTCATTCTTTTTAAAGTGTTTTTAAGATGAAGATGTTTTCTTCTGTCAAAAACTTAGGTACTGTAAAGGGAAATGTCTTCTTCGTAAATTTCACACTCATTAAACAAACCTGGAGCATTAGAGAGTAAACCAGGCAATGGAAAGAGGTCCTTCTCTACCTGTCTTTTCATAAGAATGAGCCAATGCGCTGATAATGCCTTAAAGGCCGGGCAAAAGCACACAGAGGGAAAATAGAGATGGGACTGAGAATTGTGTTGTTTTGTTATGGAAAAGAAGATGCAAAATGATCTCAGATGTACGGAAGAGCGTGAAAATTATCCTTAATTGACAAATGAAATATTTATTTTCGTACAGATGTGTCTCAAGTATATATATAAAAAGTGTGAGAGGGGAAGGAAAGATTCTTCTCTCTGATATGATATGAGCAGTGGGCGCTTTGTCTGTTGAAACTAGCGGTGGGTGAACAATAAAAGGTGTGAATCCAATAAGCACCCAAGTTTTCTGAATGCTTATCCTCACTTTATCAGAGCTTTTTGGGTCTGCAACATCAGGCAAGAAAACTTACGAGAACAGGTTGTCTACGGAGATTTTCAGTATATCTTGCTTCCAGAGTGCCAAGAAATACAAGATCAGCTTTTGTTAACTTATTTCAACATTGCAACTCTCATCCTGGCTGTGACTCAGCAAGCAGAAGGGCAAGAAATTGAAAACACAAAGGTTTGGAAAAAAAACTTGGTTTGAATTTGGGGCAGAGGTTCAGACGGGTTCTTATTTTATCCAGACCGGTTCTCCCATTCCTAGTTGAAACCTGGCTTGGGTATTTGAAATGCTGTTATGTTGCTTGTGCTGTATCAAACACATGCTTTTCATCTGCTTCTTTATTCAGATCACTTTGTCGGGGGGGTGAGGGAGGGTTAGCGGGAGGAGGGAGGACTATGCTAGTGCCAATCTCATAGTTACTTTGCTGCCCTTACATACACTGAGAAAAACTGCTCCAGGCCAATAACATCTGTGGAGTGTTTCTTTCTTTTATTTTATTTTTTACATCATTAAAAAAAATACAAGAAAAGAAAAACAAAATCTTCGTTGCCTTTTTGCTTTGTTTTGTTTTTGTTCTGGAAATTTGCATGGAAGCATTTGTACTTTTCTTCCCCCCCCCCCCCCCCCCCCGTTTGTCTCAATGAGATTTTGCAGGAATAAGCCGCCTAAAGTTGCATCATGGATGTTTTGTACACAGGAGACCTCACTTCTGCATCAGTTAAAGCTCGCTGGTTTCATTGCCATTGTTCCTTGCTCTTTGTTTTTCCCGCCTGCGTCACGTCTCAGTCTGGAATAAAGCCGCTTTCCTCTTTCTGTTGCCTTGTTGCTTTTTAAATCACACTCTACAGTTCCTTACCCATTCGTACAAGTTCCTTCTTTTCTCCTTCCCTGATTGCTGGATGAGATGTCTTCTCTGTTGCAGGTTGTATGGGACTGCCGAGTTCATATGGGCATCAGGAAGAGGTGTGTGGGGAATCAAAACAGCTAGTCTGCTCCTACTGATCATCAGTGACTCGGGAACACATTCTGAGCAGATCTGAAAGTTAAAGGGGTGGGGAACATTTGGAACTAATAATTGGGTGTGATTTTTTTTTTCCTCTTGGAGGTACTGCAGGAAAACTGGTAAATCCCTCTTTGCTGTAAGGACCCCAAAAGCATTTGAATTTCTTCATTCGGCTGCTGAAACTATGCCTACTGCCAAACTTTTGATTGGAGAATCAGGCTTGCTTGGTTTGACGGATGACTAAATACTAAGACCAATGATAATATTTTTCATGCCAAGCAGATCAAAGTGCTTTGCAAAGCAACAGCTAGAGATTAAAACGGCATCATGCAAGTGGGCTGACCAAGATTTCAAGCCTCAAAAAGGGGCCTCAATGCTATGCAAGACTGTCCCAGTGCTGTGACAGGGGTTTCACAAAAAACATCAGCACTCCCGTTGACCCCTGAATGAGTGTAAGAAACGTAGCCTAGTCAGGTTCAATTTAGCCTTATTTTGAAAACAATTTTGTAACTGGGCTTTACTTTGTCCTACCCGTAGGTGAGCTAGTGTGTCACTGCACTAGCACCCCCTTGCCCCAGCAGAGCGTTGCACCAGACTTCGCCTGATCTGGCGGGACGGTCAGGGCCTCCTGCCTGAGTCTACGGTAGCCCTTGTCTGGGCAATGAAAGGTGTTAGCCTCAGTCCTGATGGGTTGTGGGGGTTTTCTCCTTATACTTGGCTGGTGTCAGCTGGTCCTGATGCTCGGGAGTCTCAAAATCCCTTCAGTCCTTAAGTCTCCCAGGCAGGGCCGGCTCTGGCTTTTTTGCCGGGGGGGGGGCGGAGCCCCGGGGAGAGGGCAGCGAGCTCCGGCGGCGGCTCCGGTCTCCCCCCCGGCGGCCAGAGCGCCGGGGGCAGGGCCGCGAGCCCCGGCGGGTGCTCGGCTCTCCCCCCCCCCGGC